GCCCTATCTCTTGTGTCTTCTAGCCTGTTAGATCTTACCATTGACCCATGTGAGGGGTCTCCACAATTTACCTTAAGGCCTTGGTAAGATCATATAGGTACATCTGCCTTACACCGAGTCAGACCATTGGTCCATCTGGTTTAGTAGTGTCCACACTGACTGGCAGCTGCTCTCCTTTGTTTTAGGAACGGGGACATTCTCACCCCTACCTGGAGGTGCCATGGATTGAACCGGGCACCTTCTGCATACAAAGCAAATGCTATATTACTTATCTGCAACCCATCAACCCTTCTTTTTGAAGGTGGCAGGTGATCCTTCAAAGAATGTAGTCCAAGCTATTCAGAGCTTTTAAATTGGGCCTGGAAATGTGCTGACAACCAGAACAGCACCGGTGCTTTATCCTCTGATCGTCTGACTCTGCAAGCTTTATTGTAGTGAACAGGAGCGGTTCCTTTGTGTGCTTCCCATTCATTTCATTACACTGGGGACCTTACTGGGAATTTGCACCCTGTGGGCCTGTTTCTCATTTTAATTCTGAGATCACCACCTCCCCTTTCCTCCTGGTAGGCCCAGCCTTCACCATGCATAAGTGTGCACAAATATTCTGCATGCAGTTTTGCACTTCCATTGGGCTTTCATTTTCTCTCCCATGTTGCATTTCCTCCTGCTGAATGCAGGAATCAGGATACCATGTCCTGGCTTTTGTCTAGTATCTGTTTACTGTGCCATTGAAAATAAGGTTAGGTTTTGGGCTTTGTTTGGCTAGCACGTTAGAAAAAAAATAGATGGGGCATCCTGTTTCACACATGTCTCCTGCACGGCGGGGAACATATTTGGATTTTATAAGATGCCAATGTGCTCCCACGAAGCCATACTGAACAGTCGGTCAGGCTGGTGGGGTGATGAAAATGGTCAATTTTGATGCACATAGTGATCATCAACCTACACCAGTCCCATGCAACTTTTGGACCCACTGAGTCTTGCACACTCCACCAACAGGGCACAATTGTCAGGACAGGGCCATTGAAAACAGCTCCACTCTCATCAGGTGATTGGAATTGTGTGGGGCTTAGAACACCCAAACAGGGCTATGGAGCAAGGTGGTATCTTTGTATGTGTGGCAGTAATGTAATTTTAAAAGAATAAATATCTGGTGTGTCTGACTGCTATGGCAGATAATTGTATTTCATTAGACTACCTGGGAGTCAGTGCATAGGAGCCTCTGTGAGGCTTGTTTCTGAGCAGACAGGCATGGGATTATGCTGTTCTGTTCATCGTAGAAAGTAGGTCTGCAAAGAGATGTGCTTGCTTTAAATGTGGCTTTCTGTACAGATACTTTGGATAGTTCCAGTTCTGGACTGGAGACTGATGTGGATGTTAAAAAAGACCCATTGCCAGCTGCAGAAGCAAACCCCAGCCTCGCACCTAATGATGGGAAATCGCACGAGTTGTCCAATCTTCGCCTTGAGAATCAACTTCTGCGGAATGAAGTGCAATCTTTAAATCAAGAAATGGCATCATTAATTCAGCGAGCCAAAGAAACGCAAACAGGTAGAGGATTTACAGCTTTGACATTTCCATGCTATTAGCACCTTTGGAAATAGTTGAGGGTAATACAGCAAATGATTGGGAATGGTGCTAAGATAATTTATGTAAAGCCCTCTGAATACTTGAAACATGCTTTAAAAATTCCAAGTATTATTATTGATATGGGGTTGGATCCAGAGTTCCCATTGGAGGAAATAGCAGGGACATATTTTACTGACATATTTTCCCTTCTGAATGTCTTTGCTGGATTCTCCACACTAGTGAGAACCCTGTTTTGTATTTTTACAAGTGTCTTCAGTCCTTAAGTCTTTTTTTTACACATTTGCATTGTTTTGCTTAATAACATTATTTATTTCAGGTAGTTATAGGCCCCCATTTCCTAACTGTACTTAAGAAATTGATAACACTGGGTTTCGTCCAGGCTTCACCCTCCACAAACAGAAGGGCTACTTCTGTCCATGGATGGCTTTTGACCCAGTGTGGTGAAAGAAGCAGGGCAGTTGAGGGAGGCCGCGTTTGTCCCCAGCACCACCCACTGCACTATTTCAAAGGGTTCCCCAGTCTTCCATAGCAGATTTTAGAAGAAGCTCCAAGGGATGCTCTTCTAAAAGGGAGCTGACAAAAGCATCCTCCCTCTTTTTGTCGGTGGGAGCAAAGTCTGGATACAAGTCGGTGGTATCCAAGAAACGTGTCCTGTTAGTGCAGGGATTTCCACTGGTGCAATGCAGCTTCCCCTCTCCTTTCTCCACACCCTCCCCAGATCTACTCTGGGGGGCTAGAGAAGGTTCGGAACAGATTAAGGAGGAGGAGAGGGGGAGTTCCATTGCACAAGTGGAAATCCTTGTGCTGAAGAGGCATGTTGATTTGAAACTGCCCAGTATATCTGAATTGGGACAGTGTGGTCAAACACAGCTTATTTACTTTCATATTTAGCATCCTAATTTCTAATCACTGGCAAAATCATGTTACACGAACTAACTATACAAACAACCTTGTCAATCACATTGATGTCTGCTGACTTAAACTTTTGCAGAATTAAACAGTGCCCGAGCAAGAGTTGAAAAGTGGAATGTTGACCATTCAAACAATGACAGGCTCGTTCGGGGACTTCAAGCTCAAGTGGATGATCTGACGGAAGCCGTTGCCGCCAAGGATTCCCAGCTGGCTGTCCTGAAAGTGAGGTTACAGGAAGCCGATCAGCTTCTCAATTCACGTACTAAAGCATTGGAAACAGTGCAGAGTGAAAAATCACGGTACTAATATATTCCTCTTGCCTTATTATTTCTTAACTAGAGCAGGGTTCCCCAAACTTGGGTCTCCAGCTGTTGGACTACAACTCCCATCATTCCTCCTAGCCTGCAGGACCAGTGATCAGGGATGATGGGAATTGTAGTCCAAAAACAGCTGGAGACCCAAGTTTGAGAAACCCAGAATTAGAGAAATCAAGGTCTTTAGGCTTGCTGTCTCTTAATGTATCCCTTTTGCTTATAACATGATTTTTGTATCAATAACCTGATTGTTGGCTTTATCCTTAAAGGCATCAGTCGGATTGCTCTGGCGGTACTTCTGTTCATAAAGGAGAATGCTCATCATATGCTGTGCTGAGGGCCTGATTCATCTGACACATTTAGTGCTGTAGAAGCTGCTGCCACAACTACTACAGTTGCTTCCATGTGGTTTGGCCAGCTTGCATGATTTTGAAACCTAATCTATGACATCTGCAGGTGTGGTTTCGAACCATGGAATCTGCCCAAGCACTCTCTGTCGAGATCTTACTCATGTTCCTTGTGATATGGGAGCCACCCCAGAACAGTGGCTCATTTAAATAGGGCCTAATTTTCACTGGAATGTGCAGCTCCTCTCTGGAGGTGGGGAATGGGCGGCTCCTGAAAGCCCATTGGCTGAAATGCATCAATCCAGGCTCTTTCAGGGTTTCTAAGGGGGTGATGCGAGCTCATTGCACCTCTTGTTTTTCTCAATAACAGCACCATCATTTAGTGTTGCAAGCTGCTTCTTAAGCTCCCTGAGGTATTAAGGCCCAGCTCATTATGTAGTACCGGTGACTGTAACTTAGAAAACAGAACAGATGGGAAATCTGTTTGCATTCTTTGCATTGGGAAGTGTTCCGTTTTAAGGTGGCTCTTCCTCCTCCATTCGGTTTGTAGAAACTAGGCTGAATTCAGACAAATTCGTAGAGGTTAAGGCTCTCAGTCGTTACTAGTGATGGTGGCAATACGTTACCTCTAGTGTTAGAGGTGCCGTGCACTGGAGTATTTCTTGCGAGGGAACAACAGCAGGAGAGAGCTGTTGTCTTGCGTGTGGGTTTCCCAGGTGCATCTGGTTGATTCTCAAGGGAGACCAGAGATTTTTAATCTGATCCTGCAGGAGTCTTGTAAAGTTGAGTTTTTCTTCTCTGGAAAAATGAAAGGAAGCAAAGAACCCAAATGCAGTCACTGTCCTTGTCAAATAACTCATTTTCCTTTGAACAGGCAAACAAACTTGAAAATGTAGTTGGTAGTTTGTTTGCCTTGAGATTAATTTTCCCTTTATAAACTTTGAAAAAACACAGAGAGGGAAAGTATGCAATATAACATTTGGCTCAGTGTCTTGTTTTGTTTTTAATTGAGACTTCTTTTTTGTGAAAGCTAGGCACTAAACTAGAAGAATACTGTGGAGGAAATGTTGAATAGGACTGAGTAGAACGAGAGCAAGGAACCTCTGGCCTGCAGGCCAAGTTTGGCCCAGCTCAGGTCCCAATTTGTTCAGTGAGGCTTTCCCCCTAAACTGCATCCACCTGCTGTCAGATGTGGGGCAGGCAGAGATGCGGCTGGATCATTGTGAAAAATAGGATAATGCAGCATGGCTCATGTCACTGCCCATCAGCTGATGTCTGTTGACTCTAAGCCTGCTAGACCTGCTGTGCAACAGGCTTCCCTGTGGGGAACATGGTTGCGCAGCTCATCCCTTCAGAAAGCAGCTTTGCCCGCCATGTGCTCAGCATTGGCAAGCATAGGGTGGGCAAAGCCCCTTCCACAGTGGTTCCTAAGTGCTTGCACAAGGGCCTCCCATGGGTGGGTAGGATAACCCACCAGTCAATTGTCTGGCACCATAATGGCATCATGTGATTGGCAGGTGAGTTTTCGCACTCACCTGTCAAAGTTGGCCTGCTGGATAGGGGACAGATAAGGATCTGGTCCACAACACACACAAAAAAACTTCTACTCCCAAAGTAGAAGTAATTTTACAATACTGTGGAAAAGATGGCATTACTATGGATTGTGTCTTGATATTCTTCACATCTTGTTTCACTAAACCTTTGCTTTCTTCCTCTCCAGAATAATACAGGACAACAGCGAAGGGAATAGCCTGCACAATCAAGCTCTCCAGACTCTTCAAGAGAGATTGCATGATGCAGAGTCTGCGCTCAGACGGGAGCAGGAAGGCTACAAACAAATGCAGGTTAGAACAGCAACCTTGGAAGCTGGTGCTTCACTTCAGTGATTGAGGAACTGCAGTTGACAGAGTGCAGTAAAGTGCCTTCAAATCTTGGCGATGCTTCTCCTCCCTAAGCACCCCTCATGCAGAGTCTGCCCATTTGTCCACCTAGCTCAGTATCGTTGACGCTGACCGGCAGCAGATGTCCTGGCTTTCAGACAGGAGTCCATCTCAGCCCAACTTGTATATAGATTTTATCTCTTAATTATGGATGGTTTGTGTAATAGGTTTTTATTATTTGTAAACTGCCTGGGAGCCTATTGTTACTAAGAGTTATATAGACTTAATAAGAAACAATAATAAATAATGCCTTGCAACTCCAGGGATTGTACCTGGGACCTTTCTGTGTGCTGCCACTGAGCTACAGCCTTTCCATATGTGCATTATAGTTATAATTAGTTGCTATGGAGCAGGATCACCTTTCTTTCTTTCTTTCTTTCTTTCTTTCTTTCTTTCTTTCTTTCTTCTCACACCCTCCAGAGCCAGTTTTCAGTCCGCAGGGGAGAGCTGTGGGGGAAAGGGGTAGAATCAATTCCACCAACAATGTCCCTTCCAGTTTTCTCATTTTTTCTCTATGTCTCTTTTTATTGTTTTGAAGTGATAAACATTAATCTTTCCTTCACAGAACGAGTATGTGGCTCGTCTCGGTAAGTTGGAAGCTGAGCGTCAGAACTTGGCTGAAGCAGTTATTGCAGCAGAGAGGAAATCTGCAGAGGAGAAGCGGAGGGCAGATGAATTTCAGCAGCAAGTCAAAATGGCCAAGAGCGGCTTGGAGTCTGCTAGGCAAGAACTGGTAGACTACAAACAAAAGGCTACACGCATACTCCAGGTGAAGCAAATTTATTGGATCAAAATTCATACCTCCCCTCCTTTTTATCTCTTTAAAAATAAAAAATAAAATGTTCATACAAAGTAACCCAAGCCTTATCCGCAAAGATACGTATGCAGTCATGTTTTACTGATAGCTGGGACTGCTAATGAGAACCTTCAGGTATTATTATTATTTACTTACGTACTTACTCATTCCACCTTTTCCCCAGATGAGATTCAAGGCATCTTACAGATTTAGCAGCCTTAAGAGCTGCTAAAAACCTAGAAAAAGCAGTAATTAAAAAACAAATAAACATTGACAAAAATTGAACAATATACATATAGAAAATCTATTTAAACCATACCAATAATTACAATAAAACTAGCATGGCAGCACCCCTTTCATCGAAAGCAGTTGTTTTGCAGCTATGGGGTTGGTTGGGAGGAACACATAACTAGTTACAGAGTTAGTATCCCTCCAAGTAACAGCTGCTGAGGAGGAACCACAGGGAGTTGCCATCACCTTCAAGTCCTGCTGTTGCCAGATTCAAAGTGAGCCCTTCTGGGGTAGTAAATGTAAGGTATTATTTTTTAATGTGTGCGCAATCAAGCATAGACTCTGGTGATTACTTTGCAATTTCATTAACATTACTTCTATATGTTAGGTTGTTTTATGCATGGCTGTAATGTTCATTTTTGTAAAAGAATAAAAATTAAGCAGCTAATATAAATAAGTAAAATTATGTCTTAAATCTCAGTCAAAAGAGAAGTTGATAAACAGCCTGAAAGAAGGGTCTGGCATTGAAGGTCTGGATAGCCAAACCACAAGCATCATGGAGTTGGAGGAACTAAGGCACGAGAACGATATGCAAAGGGAGGAATTGCAAAAACTGCGGGGGCAGATACAGCAACTGAGGACAGAACTGCAGGTATTGTAACATCCATAGCTGCTGCTGCTGCTTCTTGCCCTCTTGCTTACTACATAAAATATCTCAAACCAATTTACATTTTTTGAAAAAGAGTTTAAAACAAACACTGAAAAGAATAAAATGATGGCATTTATCAGAAGTGCTCATCCTGCGGTAAAGGACAAAACCCTACCTCACCTACTAAAAAATGGAACACCACTACAGGCTAGCATGTTGTCATACTATTTGATCCCAGTTAAGAACCAAAATGCCTGGGGAAGGTCTTAACATATTTTCCTGTTGCCTAAAAGTTGGTAGTGTTGGTGCCAGGCGCACTTTTCTGTAGATAGCTAGGGTGGCATCAAGGAACAGACCTGTTTTGCTTTGCACGGGGTCAGAAATGCAGGGTCCAGGTTGGTTAATGTGGCACAAGAATCATGAGCAGAGGAAACTGCCTTGCACCAAATCTTGGCCGTTAGTCTGTCTAGTTTAGTATTGTCTACACTGAGTGCCAGTGGCTCTCCAGGGATTTGGGCAGGCCTCTTTGCCAACACTGGTCTAAAGATGCTGGAGGTTTAAATGTTTTTATTGACTGAATAGGGCTTGGGGAAGAGAAAGAGAACTGCCGTGGGGCTCCATTGAGAGGAAAGGCAGGATATAAATTTAATTTAACAACAATGAGAATGGCTGGGGTGTTGCTTTTGAAGCAGGATGTGCCCGATTCAGATCTTCTCTCAGCCTTAAAGCTTGCAGAGTGACCCATGAGCCAAGCCCCCTCAGTCTAACTTAACTCGCAAGGTGGTTATGTGAGAATAAAATAGGATAAGCATACAAAGGGAGGAAAGTGTTAATTACACAAATGTGAGAAATTTCATCTGCACTGCCCCAGTGCTGTCTTCTTGTTCATTAAATTAAACCAACCCTATCTTTGGCCCAATGCTTCAAGGTGGCTGCACTCATTGGCTACAGGTGCTTCCATTTGAGATCTTGCGAGGAGGCAGGGCAGGATGCATAGAGAAAGAGAGCGTGAGAGAATGAGTGTGTGTGTGTGTGTTCATCTGCCTCCTTTCCCTAGGATACAGGACTGGGTACCTCCAGCTACTGGCAGAGAGATTTGAAGCATTGGCCACCATAGATTAAAAGATAGAAGTTCAGAGTACACAGAGCAGTAGACCTGGAAGAGACTTCAAATGACATCTGGTCCACCCCACTGTCAGTGAAGGAACTCCATTACAGTATTGCAGCACTCTGATTAGCGGCTATCTAGCTTCTGCTTAATCTCTTAGGCAAGAAGTTGGCCTTTTCAGTACTCCAATGAAGCACCACCAGCACATGACTCAGGAGACTGCATGTGCAGTTAGCCACACTTCTCCATAGTCTCTGGAGTTGCTCCCAGTGGGACTGCCTTGGCGCACAAGCCAACTGCTGAGGAGGAATAGTGTGTTGCAAGGACCACCCTGCAGTTATCACACGCAACCAGTTGTGGCTGGTGAGGTGATGCTAGTGGGGCACCATCGCGCTCCCAGTTTCCCAGCACAGGGAGTTGCTGGTGCTTACTAAGAGGGGAGAAGCTTGGCTCAGTGTGCTATGAAGATAGGGCCACTTGCTCCTGCTCATAAGCGTTGCCATTTATGAAATTGCATACATAAGTAACATTTCCTTATCATGCAGGATATGGAAACCCAGCAGATAAACGAAGCCGAGTCCACAAGAGAACAGATTCAAGAGTTGCAGGATCAAATTGCAACACAAAAAGCATCCAGGCAAGAAGTGGAAGCTGAACTAGAGAGACAAAAACAGGTAAGTGTTGGAGAGAGGTTATCATTTCGCCATACTTAAATATTTCCTACCACCCAGAAATTGAAAAAACGATTTTGGCTGGTGAACTGCATGTCTTTCTGAGGGAACTGAGGAAGGTGTGATTAACAGGTGCTTATTGAGCCTGCTGAATGAGGTCTGTGGAGCAGGACAGGATTATAACTTTTTATTAAACAGACTTTTAAAATTAAAAATCTTCTAGAATTGCAAGGATTTGAGCCTCTCAAATGTAGGTGGTCATTAAATTCCCTGAGCCCATAAAGACCCCAGCTACCAAACCAAACTCTAGACAAGACGAAGAAGTGCTGTTGGTTTGGGTTCGTTTCTTGGAATCTTGGAGTATGTGTTCAGCCATTTTGGATGGGGTTGCATTCTCCCCTCAAAATCAAATTAAACCACCAGGGAGTGTTCCTAGATCCAGTCTTACTTCCGGAAGGTCAGGGAGGTTGTTGGCTGTGAGTGCCCTTTCCTTGAGAAGCCACAATCTGGCCAGAGTCATTCATGTCCAGGCCACTTCCAGTTTGGATTACTGCAATGTGCTGCCTTTGAAGACTGTTTGGAGCTTCCGTTTGTTTTGCACATATGAAAGTGTAAATTTTGCACATTTACAATAATTGCCTGTTCACTTCCTGGCTCAGAGTGTTCGGTTTGATCTTTAAAAGCCCTAATCTTGGTAGAAATCCAACTGCTTCTATAAAGAGCCAGCGCAGTAGATAAATACAGTTGTGAATGCTACTAAATGATACACTGCAATGGTCCTGCCGACAGGGACATGGAGTGCTTACCACCACAGCTATGGTGTTCATACATTAATGGAAATGGTGTGCTTTTGCACATAATTTTGATGTTATGAACCCTTGACGAGGTCAATGAAGAGCCCTCAAAAAAAGTTGTAATCTAACCTGATTCAAAAGGTCCTGTCAATGCTCACTTGGAAACAGATCGGTTTCCCTGTATCTCATGAATCTTTCTCGTTTGTTTTTTGTTTTCATCATGTGTATTGTGAGATGAAGACAAAGTCACGGGGAGTGAAAAAAGGTTTAATTTGCTTTACCTGGTTGGAACTCTCCATCTTGCAGGATTACTTGTCCTTCCAGAAATTCCATATTAACTAGAGAGTGGCAGGCTGAACTAATGAAAAGGCAAAAGATCCACGTTTGCTCTCGGAAGGCGGCTGCATGATGTTTATTATTATAGTATTATGAAGCCATATGGTGTGCCCTGTTGCAGTTTGATGGACAGTCCGTTTTTAGCCTGTGCTTTGGCTCTGAGGTGGAAACTCTTAAATGAGTATTGGGTGTAATTCGCTTCAGCCTTCTTGCTTGTTATTTCTAAGCAATACTTGGGTTAAATAGTTTGAAAATGAGGATGAAATCTGCCAACAGGGTAGTCCTGCTTTATAGTCATTAAAGAGCACTTACTGTACATGTCAGGTAGGTGCCATCGCTCTTGTCTTTTGGCATCTGTTGAAGACTTTCCTGCTTCAGAATAGAGATCTTTCTTGGTCCGTATTGGATTTGAAAATGATGTTTAATGCGTTTTAATGGTTCTTGTTCATTTGTATGTGCAAACAAATTTGAATTTGGTTTTTATATAAGTAGTGACTTTTAATTGTATGTATATATGCATATGTTCATAAATGAAATAATAATCGCAGTACTGAGCACAAGGGTGTGCAGCCCTTGATCCACTTACTGCATGTGACCGGAGAGACACTTGTTGCTTAAATAATGCCTTTCTAGCCTGCTGAATAAGTCTGGAATATGTAGTGCAAACTCCCTCGTAATCAGGCATGGGGAACCTGTGGTCCTTCAGATATTGAGGGAACCATAGCTCCCATCAGTCCCACCCCAGTCATGTTAACTGCATGCAAGGGGGAATGCCAGTTCACTCAGGCCTGTTTCCATAATAGATGTCCTCTCTGCTGAGCAGGTTGCTCAGCCGTCCAGTCCTTGTGAAGTGACAGGCCTTTCAAATAGACTGGCAAGGGCATCTGCCTTTTTGGGACAAAGGAAACACTTTGGAAATCTAAGAAAGTGTTGTGAGCACCACCAAATTCTTATTTCACAGAAGAAAAACTGGAGGTGCTCAGAATCCCTCTCCTAAACAGACAAAACTCCTATACACACACACTCCTAAAGTGCAGGTGGCCACTAAACTCCCACTCTCTCTACCTGACAGAGTGTTATATTGCACTTTTGGAACCATACAGAATATGTTTTGGGCAGTATTAATATTCCAAGAGGCAGCCCCACATTTGCTGTACTGGGTAGCCTGGGGTGGCCCCTGCCAGTTTGGTGGAGGGGGCTTCTGTCCATACTCTTAAGGGCCAACAATGCCCAAACACTTCTCCACAATCCCCATCCTTAAAACGCATTGTTATGGATCTCCCAGGCCCATTTCATTCAAGGTCTTCATCCTGTGTCATACTCATGCTATTTCACAGTGCCCCAAGTTGTAGTTTCCAAGAAGAGGCATGTTCTGAAAAGGGCCCCTGATCAAGTTCTGCTCATTTGTTTCCATATTCATAACCGGAGGATGTTGCTAACAGGCTTG